ACTGGTCATGACATGACTTACTATTTTGGGAGATGGATCGGCTTCTCCTCTGCCCTTCGAGCCTCTATGAATGTTTTTTTTTTTTGTTTTTTTGTTTTTTTTTTGAAAAAACGATCACAGGTCCCCCTTCTATTTTGGGGGGCCTCAGTCCGGTTGCTCGTGCCCGCCAAGCAGTCCACGAGACGAATGGGCTTTTACTAGATGGCATATACTTTGTTCCCTCTCCTCTACTGTTGCTGATGAAAGGCTAAGCCTCTACTAGATGGCCAAGTCGATGTGAAGTTCGGTCGCACACTATGTGAAGTAGTGTGAAGTTTGGTCGCACACTATGTGAAGTAGTGTGAAGTTCGGTCGCACACTATGTGAAGTANGTGAAGTAGTGTGAAGTTCGGTCGCACACTATGTGAAGTAGTGTGAAGTTCGGTCGCACACTATGTGAAGTAGTGTGAAGTTTGGTCGCACACTAGTGTGAAGTTCGGTCGCACACTATGAAATGGTCAAGTGGATGGCCATGGTTAGTATAGGTTCCTGCGTGCGGGATCGTACAGGATGTGAGCCTCGGACACTCTACTTAAGAAGGTTGTTCCCGCACGCAGGAACCTATACTAACCATGGCCATCTACTTGACCATTTCATAGTGTGCGACCGAACTTCACACTACTTCACATAGTGTGCGGCCGAATTTCATAGTGTGCGTCGTAACCTACTTAGAAGGTTGTTCTTATGTCTGTCGAGGTTGGAGGGACCTAAGAGAGGTTGCGACGAACTCACCAGAATCAAGGCAGCCGGCCCAATAAGAAAGAAACGAAAAAGAAGAAGAGATTAATAAGAAAATATTAATAATAAGCACTTTCTTTCTTTCTTTCTTTCTTTCTTTCTTTCTTAACTTTTTCTTTCTTTCTTTCTTTCTTTCTTTCTTTCTTTCTTAACTTGGAAATTTGAAACTATTCTTTCTCAAATTCTCGAATTGTGCACGTCATCCTTGCACAGAGCCATCCTCATCCTCTCAATATCGTCCCAGATTGTAACGGATGATGATGTCCCGAAGGAGTGAGCTTCACTTGGACTTGGAGTGATTGACTCGAGAAGCATGCTATGCTGTGGTGCGAATCATCTCCCCATCCGTCCTACGAAGCTACCCCGACTTACTCTGATTGATTGATTGATTGATTGATTGATTGATAGATTGATTGATTGATTGATTGATTGAACCGGTATATTCTGAAAGGAAACATGAACATTGTGTGTGACAATGCTGACATGATGCATAAACGGGGGGACCGTATGGATTGTGCGGAGATGCTGCAGAAGCGATTGATTGATTGATTTTGCTAATTTGATTAGAATGATGAGACTGATTGACTAGAATGGTCAGATTGATTGATATTGATTGATTGACTAGATTGATGAATTGACTGAAACAGAAGTCCCGGACCGATGCTAAGCCGTATGGAACCTAAACATCAGGCAATCTAATCAGTCCATCAATCGAATGAATCAATTTTAAGCAACCAATTAATCGATCTCATCAAACAATCTAGTCAACCAATCTGATCAATCAATCTATCAATTAATCTATCAATCAATCAATCTATCAATTAGTCAATCAATCAATCAATCAATCAATCAACCAACCAATCTATCAATCAACCAATCAGGCAATCTAATCACTCAATCAAGTAATCAATCACTCAATCAAGTAATCAATCAATCAATCAATCAATCAATCAAGTAATCAATCAACCAATGAATGCGATTGATCCCGGGTATCTTCCACCGTCAGCCTCTTCACGCGTCCGTGAGAATCCCAATGTGAAAAACCCGTCATAGCTCTTCCTTTCTTTTTTCTTTTCTCTTTTCTTTTCTTTTCTTTTTTTTTGAAGTAACTTCAGTGCAGGGAGCCACTTAATGAGGTGATAGGAGCACCCTCATTAATTAAGTGGGGCCAGCTCGAAAGGCTCCATCTATTGGTGGCCATAGCTCTTCCTCCCCATTTTCTTTCCACTATATTTTGTTGTGGTGTTGGGTAGATGCTTTTTTTTTTTTTCTCTCCAGAAATGGGCTACCCGTCTTCACCCGAATAGAACGCCCGGTCACGATAGTTGTATTTGGTGCAACTTCCAGCCCAGAAACGGCAATAATTGCCGGGCGTTCTATTCGGGTGAAGACTGTAGCAGCAGTCCCTTCGGGTGTCCATACGAACGTACTTTGGAGCCTACCAGCCTGCTGATAGGTTGCTGTGATTTTATTTTATTTTTATTATTTTATTATTTTATTTATTTTTGTTCCTTTTGTGTGTTTGTGTCCTATGCACAGTCTTTCATCCCGACACCTTTCTTTTTGTATGCTCTCCTCATCCTTGTCTATTCTATTAGGACCTCACTCACACCAGGAGTCTTTTTGACTGTCTCTGGATTTAAGAACGGTCAGGTACATCCAGATCGACCGTAATCACGGTCAGATACATCCATGTCTGTGGCAGACTGCGTAGCCACACGGGCCCTGTAGGACCCGTCCCGGACATTCAGCCTTAAAGCCTAAAACTTAGGAGCTACAGGCCCCGGTCGTTTCAGCCTGAAAACTGAAAAACGAGGGCCTGCAGGCCCTACTCCGTTTCAGCCTATTTTTGGGAGACCCAGAGTTTTTCCAGCCTGAAACGGAGGGCTATTCTTAGGCCCTGGGCTATTTTTAGGCCCTCATTTGTTTCGACCTGCCCTA